CATGACCCCGAGGACAGAAAAAAACATAATCGTTTGTTTTTGTTATGAGAGAAGCTGGTTCTAAAAGTGTCAAAAATTGTTTGTGAATGAACCTAATATGAAAATAATTATTATTGCCAAATAGATAGATCTCGATGCTACTTATTCACAAATAGTATATCCGGTCTGTGGCCAAACATTGACAGCAATATAGGCCTATATAGACAGTTTACAATATACAGGTATGGACTTTCGAAATCGCGAGTCTGGCTTTGCACAGAGTAAAATCGAGCTGCGCTAATTATAGGCCTTGGTTATTATAAGAATTATCGTCGCCATAATCATGAAGCAGAATGCTATCTGCTTAAAAAATCGAAAAAGTATACGGACAATTTTTGAAATTGGGTTCATGTTTCGCGCTAATTCCAGGTGTTTATGCTAGGTTGTGATTTACCGTTCCGCCATCAAAATGCGATCGCCTGAACTTCCTGTCCTGCAATTCATCGACCCGACCCAAAAGAAGAAGTGTGAACGTCCGTAAGGCGGCCCTGGGTCGACTTAAAACTTAAAACAATAACTGTGAACAGAAATGAAGTTGAGTCGGCCGTAATTTAAGGCGACCCTGGGCCGGCCCTAGGACGGCCTAATAAGTGTGATTGGGCTCTTACACACAGCATGTGGAGACATACAGTAGATCAGTAGCGTGTAAAGTAATAGAACTCTTAACTGATTCAGTGATGGGATACTGTACAAGGCATTGCCATAACAGTAGATGCTATATTTGTTATTTTATATCTCCATTTGCAAAGCATTTATAGTAATTGAAACTAATGCTATAAATAATAATGTAATTTATTAGTCAATCACTACAGTAAGAATACATTTTTGGTTCATCAAGAATCTTTCAAAAACAAAAAGGACAGATAGGCCTTAGATACCGATTGCTTTCTATCCATCAAATTGTCCAAATACTAAAATGCTCTACAATCACTCAGTCAGTCACTATTATAGCATTAGTTAATCAATAAGCATGGTTATATATTTATATTATGCAATTATAATCAAGTTCTGAGGACCCTATATAAAATAGAGTGCAAAAGAGCCATTATTTTCTGAAAAAAATTGCCTGAATCCTGCAGGGATGTTGATGATAGTGGGTCATACTGGTGTTAGAGATGAGCATGATGTTGTAGATAATGATTGGTGGTCATAATAATTATCTTGTGCTTAATGTCTGGTCACATGACCAGAAATATTATTGCCTAGGGAGTGAGGATTGTTATTGTGTAAGTCTGTGGTAAGAGCAATTATTAACATTACTGTACTAATCAGAAAGGTATTACTCAGGTATTATGCTATAATACATGTTTATAAATGGTGGATGAATATTGTTAAAACTTGCGAAAGGGAAAGACTTTTTAGAATTTTGATTTCTTAACTGATGATGAGTGAATAGTCCACTATTGAGCAAGTCAAGTGGCTGAGCTGCTAACTATAGTACATCCTTTACATTGGCACCGGTCCATGCTCGTAGCGCAGGGTTTGGTTGGTAGAACCAGTAGGACCAAGTCTTCTCTGATAAGGACTTAATTTGGAGGTCCACATTTGGCTTACGTGTGTGCACTTTAAAGAACCCAATACGTTTTTCAGAAGAGCAAGGGGTTACCCCAATGCCATGGACCACGTCCATATGTAATTCAGTACAGTAATGATGTGAGTTATGGGTTATTCTTCTACCTTTACTGTACTTTTTATATAAAAATACCCTGATTGATATATCTTGTACCTGAAATAAAAATGTATAATAATACCATCCTATTCATTGTTACTATTTTTGTAGGGTCATATTTCTTTTCTATAATTATGAATACTTGTTCTTCATTCGTACCCAGGGGCGGCACCAGGAGTTCCCCAACAAGGGATCCAAGCTCTCCGACCAGGAGTCCACACCTCGCCGGGTCAAAGAAAAATTGAATTTGTCGGGGAATTTTTTCATTAAAAAATAATAACGTGTTAATTATACAGATACAGATACAGATGCAGATCTTTTATTGTCATAAAAATATAAGGTACAATTATGAAATTTTCCTTCCTTATTGCAAATAAGTATAAAAATAAATATAAATATATTAGAAAGGACATACGGTATCACAAAAACACAATTCTAACTACATGAATTCTACTTACAACATACATTATCTTAGTTTCCTCTTACAGTATTAAATTCAGTAATTGCTGACGGCAGAAAAGAGTTCCTAAATGGAACCTCTCTGAGGTACTAGTCCCCCTGTCAGAGGTACCAGCCCATGTCGGGGAAGAGCTGGCACCACCACTACAACCCATACAGTATGATCGCAATGGTATCCAACACCTCGCATATATGCTAGCACTACTCGCACTAAACAATTTTTAATCACTAAAATTTGACAGCTTAGTAAGGCATGCTTGAATTATACTTTGGAACTTGAGATTTGATTTTTCCCCGACAACCTTGCTGGAAATTCCCCCGATGGGGGGTCCAGAGGTCCCAGGGGTCTTTTGTCCCCTGGACCCCCCCACTAGCGCTGCCCCTGTTCCTACCTTATCCTCTACAGGTACCTATCCCTCCTTCATTTCTCCACCTACCTCTTCATCTATCCCTTTTTTCATTCTCTTTTCCATTCTCTCCTTAGTCAAATTGTTGATAATGATGAAGTTTCTTTCTTGATGTGACAGGAGCTCCAAGCATTTGATTTTTCAAATTACTCCGAATGTTCAAATTGCCAATAAATGCATTGAACCATAATGTTTTCTTTAATTAAGTTTTTTATACAGTATTTGAAAAACATGGAGCTCTTGTCAAACTTACTTTAACCTGTTGCATCAGCATTTTTATTTTGTTTATTACAGAAAACTGTTTGTATTCAATAGATTTCACAACTTTTAAAATAAACCTTTGCTTATTATTAAAATCCTGGAACGACTTTTGCAATTTTCTACGCTTGCCTTTTGGATTTGATTTGTCAACATTATTCAACAGGCTAAGGCAGCTACAGTACTGTAAATATTGGCCTAGTTTTTGTATGATTGATTCAGTTCCATTTCTTTTTTGGCCTGGGATTTTCAGCTAAAAAAGGAAATAGGCGAGGTACAGTATTGTAGAATTTCCAAACTGGGTGTGTACATGTGTGTGTGCGTGTGTGTGTGCGCGTGTGGATGGGTGTTTATGTATATGTACATGATGTATGTGTACATTGTGTGTAGAGGTTTATTTGTTAGTGCTTATGCATGAATAAAATGTCTCATTTTTTGGCTAGTTTTAAAAAATTAATAGCCGGTTCTTTCAATTCTATAATATTTTGTTTCAAATTAATATGTATTTAGGTATTTATGAATTGTCCATAAGTATTATGATGTTAATTGATATGAAACAATTTCTAATAAAATATGTCAACCTAAAATTTCTGCAAGCATGTTTGTGATGATATTGATTTTATTATGAATTCTAAAATCAATTTAAACTGAATATTTGAATTGAAAACTGGCTTACAGTATTTGCATGAGTTTGGAATTTCTGCTGTTGCATTCTAACTTTTAATATCATTTACTGATAAGCAAATTATTTTAATTTATTTTAATTAAATAATTTTTTTCTTGGTTATGGTTTACTGTAAATGCATGTTACTAATATTAAAAATGCTATGCCTTAATCACTAATCTTGGATTTGAAAGGAATAATTGCATTATTGCTACAATAGTAATTAAAACAAAATATTATTCTAAATCATTATTTGTGAAAAAAATAGTCAGTTAAGTTTTTTTTTTCTGTATTATATTCTGTATCAGGCACATATAGTGGTCTGGAATGGGCATACCAATTTAATTGATATGAAATCTATATAAATATTGTCGTAGGAGCTAAACTTATTGCTATAAAAATTATTTTGGCATGATTCAAAAACAATGTTGTCCTTAAGTGCAGAAGCTGTAGGTCTAAAATATTTATTTCAATTTAATGATGCCTTGTAAGCCAAGTTAAATTGAAAAAAGATGTTACATATAATTACTTTCTCCGTATCCTCAAACATTTTTTTCAGTTTTTGCTATCAAAATATTTTTTTTTTCATTGCCAAGGCCCAATTGTAGTTTAGTGTAGTAGTTATTTTTATAACAAAGTCAAGTGAAGTCATTCTGTTATTGTTGGTTGGATTATTAATTTTTCACTTGCTTCTCAATAGAGTTAATTACAATAGTTTATTACTGTTGGCCAATTGAATCTATCAAAACCTTCCCTGATTAGTTAATTAATATACTAAAGTGTTACATGTATATCAATTGGGTATGTTTTTTTCTAATGTTCCCTTTAGTTGCATTTACAAATGTTTCACCATTTTGTTACTGTATGTTTGCATGAAGCAATTTATTTAATTCCTTTTTAGTTCTATAAAATGTGACCTAACAACCTAGTATTCACCCCAAGTTTAGTATTGATCTCGATGACCTAGTGTTGACCCATAGTTCAATAGTGCATTGACCTTGTTTACAATCAATGTTGTTTCCTTAGATTCCTTCATTCAGTAGGGTTAGAATGTTTTGTCTTATTAAAATGCAGTCAGTCTTAATTTTCTGAAATGTTTGCATAATGTGAAAGTGTTTCTAGCTTTAGAAGTACAGGTGAATCTGTCAGGTGGGTTTGTGTGTTTTTATCTCTTTATAGATGGTTTCATTCTATGAATACTAACACAGTTTATGCACAATGTAGTTTTAAAATATATTTATGCACAGCTGTTTGCTTAATAACACAATAGTGATTAATAACTATTAATAAAGTAAACCACATGAAGACATTAAACTAATGATCTTTAAACAGTAACCATGAAAAGAAATTACAAATGAAATATGGAATACATTAAAGTATGACACCGTATTGTAATATTTTCATTTCATTCATAGAGCAATGGGGTCAGACATTGGTACTCTCCCATCAAATCTCACATCTTCACTATTCATTGCTTATATATAGCATTCTTTTTATTATGCCTTGTATAGATGTTTAACAATAACATAGCCTCTGTTATGCTTAAAATTACTGAATATTACAACAGTTTGCACTTTAACTTTGACATTTGGAAACATAAATACTTAATATAATTTTTTACAATATAATGCCACTTTAAATGCCAAGCATCTCCTTGTCTTTTTATTTTGTTGGAAACAATAAGTAATAGTTAGAAAGGAAAATTAGAAACCTGCTTTGCCAATAAAGAAACATAATATTTACATAAGAAACAAAACTATGCTAGCTAGATATTATAATAAATTGTATGTCCATTTAACTAAATTATTAAAGTAGTTATTCATTATATGTAATTATATAAATAAACATATAATTAATTATATATAATCATGCTTTTAACCACCATTATTAGTATGTTGAAGTAAAGTAGTACATAAAACAGATTTGTGTACATGTTATGTATTAGTTATTCATATTACATAACTAACCATATGATGTGTAATTAAACAATAATTAAATGTATGTGCCATGTTTTTAATCAGTATTGGCATTATGAATTAGTAAATTTAACAGAAATAAGTAATAATTAATAATTCTGATTAAATTTACTACTTGATATTTTACACAGATGTGTTGATGGTTAAAACATAATTCTGTTTTTGTAAAGGTAGATTCACACCAAATCCGAATTTTGTTCATAGAACATTTTTGATGTGTGTCTTAGTACGCACCTGTATTCTTTACCACTGATTCAATTTTTTTTCCTTTCGTTATCCATGCGAACCAAATTCAGATTCGGTGTGAATCTACTTTAAGTGATGGAAATTGCACTGTTGAGGGAGATTTGGGAATTAAGTGTCTAATGAATTAAATTATACTTAATTGAGTATATAATGAATTGTATTTATTTTTTATCAGTTGAACATCCTTCATAGGGAGAGGAAGAGATCAGCCGTCATTATCCTTCAAGACCAAAACCAGAATGAACAATCAGAGGAAATGAAACAAATATTGAAGGTAAATTCCACATTGAAATGTAGGAATTATAACAAAGATTAAAGTAATATCCACATTGAAAATTAGGTGGAACTGAAACAAATATTAAAGGTGATATTCACATTAGGTAGGAAGAATGAATCAAAGATTAAAAACTAATATTATATGGAGAAGAAAAATAAATATAATGGAAAGGTAAGATGATATGAAACAAATATTAAAAGTATGGAAAATTAGGAAATGGAACAATAATTAAAGGTGTAAGATCCATATCATGTCTGGGCTCACTCTAACTTTTTTTTTTGGTTTAGCTAATTGGCTGAAGTCAACAAATTGTTTTTAGCCAATTGAATACTAATACAAATACTAGGCCTATACGCACATCATGGAGCAAGGAAAATAGCCTACTTTTGGGAGTAAGCGAAACCATAGAGGGTCCAGAAAACCTGTATTTTATGCATTTTCAGCATAATTATGTATCAGCAAGGATTATTCAAAATTGGCTTGGTTCCGATAGCCTGGCAAGTATTTGAAAATTTTAAATGATTTTAAGCCTTCACCAAAATGGCTAAAGCAGTTGGTTATTTTTTCGCCAATCCAAAAAAGTTTTTGTGAATGGCGACTTGGTGATCGGTTAGCGTGAGCCCAGTTTGGCGCAGTAGTAATGGTTCTGTTTCCCAACATCGAAGCCGAGGGTGCAATCCTTTGCTGTGCATTTTACTGTGTCCTTGAGGGAGGCACTTTACCTACCATACATTGCTTTTTAGTCTACCCAGCTGTGTAAATGGGTACAAATGCATGGAGTAACCAGCAATAGTGTCATTATCCACTAATTTTTCCTCTTTAATTCCAAGTAGTTAAAGTCAAACTTAATCATTAAAATAAACTGCAGACTCACATTAGAATTTAAATAGATCAATACATCTCTTTTGTATTTGAATATATTAATTGTTATATGAGTAGATAATCTGTAAATTATTCAGCATTTGGCCTGTATATATAATAATGATAATAATAATAATAATATTTATCATTTTTTCATTTCATTTTATTCAATATCAAAATCGCAGTCGAGGACTGAATTAAATAATACTAACAATAAAACAGAACAGTAATATAAAAACATCGAAGGAAAGTAATATGAAAACATCAAAGGATTAATTATTAATTGAAGTAATACACAAACATCACAGATTAAAAACATTAAAAATTGCATTTTTACAAATTATATGGCATTCAATATATAATCATTTGCCAGGAAATAAAATTGGCAGTTAGCCTGAACAAATAATTTTGTACTCTTTCCTCTTAAGTTATACAAACAAATACAAAATTTAAACATACATTAAAGACTTGTTTAAAATGTAATAATATTTTTACTTCACATGTATTGCTTTTATTAAGATGTTTAAGTCAGCCCAACCTGTTAGCTTTGCTGGAAAGATCAGCCACTTATTGTTGGGGGAAAAAAAATCAACTCAAATCAACTCAATACATCAGCACATGTATAAACAGCATGCTGTGAATTTTGCATTATGGCGAAACAAAATACTATTGACATATGATGCCATTCAAAGTTGCTCTTTTTATATTATATTCCATTCTCGCCTAACAGTGAGCGTCTTGTCACTATGCAAGATCGAATCAGCTTTGTGATGCTTCATAAACCCAGTGTCATTATGAGGCTTAGGAAGTGGATCTGCTGCTGTGTCTACACTGATAACGTCATTCATAGTTGTCTGAAAAAGATTTGTTGTCTGTAGGTTTAGTGTCCTGGTACTGGAAGCTACAACTTCTTGTTATTAATTACACAATTAAAAACACTATAATTTAACTAACCAACTATAAACGTTAACATTAAATATCTGAGTTTCAGTAAATTGTACCATTATTAATTGGGCTGTCATTTTTAAATTATTCTTTCTTTGATACATTCCTTTTATTAGTCATTTATGTTTTATGGTATTTACATAAATGATAACTCCTGGGACCTACAGAGGCAAACATATCTAGAATTTGTTTCTAGAATGAAAGTGTATTTATAACTCCTATGACCTAACCATCACTATTAATACTGGGTTAGTCTATACTAACATTGTTTAATAATTTGTGTTTATCATCTGCTTTCAGCCATTATGATATCATTCATCATGGTTGTTTATGAATCCAATGGGCAAACCTAATAGTTTAATGTACAGTTTAGACCGTTTGAAGTCCTTAGAAGTCGTCACGAATCAGCAGAAGTATAAACTTTCCTCAGAAGTGTACTTGTGAGGCTGAAGAACAATACCATAGTCTACCATTACTACATTACATTACTACAGTACCATAGTCTACCATACTAAAACTAAACTTTAAATCTACGTTATAATTACATAAAAAGGTAAACTACATGGAAAAAGAGAATAAATTAACTTAGAAAACTAAAGTTAAAAATCCAAATCAAAATTATCAGCGAATCATTTCCTGAAAACCTACAAAGTATATTCATTTATACTGTAATGTAATTAGATTTTAGAGCATACCAGTAAGTAATAACCTAGAAACATAAGGCAAACTAAAGCACTGTAAGATATGGATATGAGAAAGAATGTTGTTCCTGAGCATTGAATCCTCAATTTGAACTCTTTAAATTATATAAATCAAGTTGGTTACTATAATATTGGTTTCTTTAGGGTGTTGATTTTATGAATACTGTATTAGTATAAACATGTGATTTGATTTATGTTTTGCAAACATACATTTTAAATTTGTAATTTATAGTGATAATTTTTCCTACTACTGGGTGTGCTTTTAAAATACATGATAAATATTATATTAGTAATAATAATCATCATTGGCGTATCACATGTTACCTCAAGGTAATAATTGTTTGTACATATTTAGTATTTGTAAGTTTAATGAAAATCAATTACATGCTTGTATAATTCACAGAATACAGACAATGGGCATTATTAATGCTATTTGGCATTTTAGTTGTCATTTATCATGTACTAATAAATCACTTTGCAGGATATATCAGTCTTTATCGGGCATTGATTTATATTACCTACAAACAAGTATCCTAATGTACACTGAAAATGAACTCTAGCAAATTTAACAAATTGCTGCTAAAATCTAATTTCAAAGGAGGATGGCTATATAAATCCTTCAGCGAATTTTATAAACTATATATTAGACTTACAAATTGGGGTGATTTTTTTTTAAACGTGTTTGATAGATACATCTCATGAATATATTCAAATTCCCTGCACCCCATTCTCAAGCACACACCCACATACATATATAAATAAACACTCTGTGCACTTACTCATCACTCGTATATATTGTTGGTGTTTGGCTATTATGATCTGTGTTTGATTCAGAGAGTCAGACACAAAGCCATATTATAATTTTGTGGTTTCTTTGCCTGAAACTAGTTAACAATGTTTTATCACTCCCAGTATGCTCATTCCATTTGGTATGGATGCTTCCAATCTGAAAATGTATATTAAAACTTGGTAAAAATGATATCAAAATAGTTTAGGTGTTGTTTGATTTAATGAATCTGTGAGAAATTTTATATTACAAATGCTTTATTGGGAACATGGGATAGGAATAGAAAGGGGTTGTCCTTTATTATATGCCTCAAACTTTCGCAGACATTATTATTATTAGGATGATGACAATGATAATGGTGATGATGAGGATGACATCAGCAGTCACCACTGAGGGTTTTTATATTTTCTTCTCCTTTTTTTTCCCTTTTTTTTTCTGTTTATTCAATATTTATAGTTTCTGTACATAAACTAATAATTATTAAACAATTTTTTTTAAATTGAGAAAAGGCTGCCCTGTGTAGATACTCCAGATGGATATGCTCCGTTATAAAATTACAATAATAATTGTTAAGCTATATTAGTTTTTGAAAATTTTATGATATAATTTTTGAAATTTTTATTGCCAATATAAGGTTGTTATTTGATTTGGATATTAAACGTTGATGGACGCAAACCAATAACAATAACACTAATGCAAGTAGAAATGTGGGAATTGCAATATATGTTACATATGTATTAATGTAATTATTGATTTAGTCATAAATATATTTGATGTCATATTGCTGTTAAATGAGAATGCATGTTATTGCTATCTGCACTACTGTCTCTGTAATAAATTTCACTTGTTTAAAGATATACTGTCTGTGTTTAAATCTGGAACACCCTCACAAATCTGATTAAAGATTGAATTGCGTATTTAAAAGCATCAAATATGTTATTGTATTGGAAATGAGACAGATTGAAACAATTCAACCACAAAAATATTTCAATTGATTATGAACAAATTTAAAGGCCTTAAGTATACTTTTATTTGCGGGCAATTTTTTTCTAGCGAATTCCAAATTTTTTATTCAAATTTATTAGCTCAAAACTGAATGTATATTAAATAAACCATTGTCTTGACAGACGTCACTGTAGTACTATTGATGTTTTTTGTTTTTAACTAATGGATATAATCATTTTACTTTAATAATAATTTAATTAAAAATGAAAGGTATCACTTTTAGATTTGTGTGTAATGTGTATTTGTGTTTTTCAAACTTCTGTATTCAATTTCAATTCAATTCAATTTATACAAAAAAACCCTGGAATGGAGAAGTAAATGCTCTGCTGTACATAGTTCAACTTATTATGTAACAACATTTTAACTATTTTGTTTTTAATCTGTTTTATCAATTGAAAAATCACCATTATCAAACATTGTCCTACATAGGTTCAAAGTTTTCTCCGGGGTTGGCTTTGTCGTCGCAGGTGGAAGGCTATCGTGCAGGACTACATCCGCTCCCCACATGCTGAAAGCATGCGAAAAAGGAACAATATTGTTTTTAACATGGTGGAGAGTGAACGAGAATACGTGGAACAGCTGTCTTTGCTTGTCTCCTGCTTCTTAAGGCCATTCAAAATGGCCGCCAGTGCTAAGAAACCTATCATTTCGCACGAGGAAGTTAACTCAATTTTTCTGAACAGGTTTGTGAGTATTTTATTCTTACTTTTGGAGGGGAATAGGTTTGTACATGTCAAACATATACAACATCAGATAACTGATTTACAGTAAAATTTGTTCAGCAAATTTTAGTTAAATTATAATGTCATTTTTTCACTTATTTTTGAAATATTTTTTAAACATAAAAAACCCTTTGTTTTAATCTTTATCGAATTTCATCTATATTTAAGTTTTGTTATTTTTTATTTTTAAATACTGTCATTATGAATCTCTAGCTTATGATTAATATTTTTGATAAAATAGTGATTATATCAGATCACAGTATCCACTGAAAATGCTGGTGTACAGGGAAAGCAGACAAGTTAATTCTGCCTATAAGCAAAACAAATATAAACAAAAACGACTAGTCGTGCTGGTAGCCTACAATTTATAGTGTGTGTTTTTCAGTGATTAACTGTATCATGACGAGCTCTTAAAAATACACATGTAATTTATGACACGTCATGCCAATCGTATATTAGCATACAAAGGATGGTGCACTGTTAAATATTTTGTCAAAAAGGAAAAATATGTTTTCATTGGGATTGATACCCAACTGTCAAAAATAAATGTTCAGTTTCTTGAAAGATGAGTGAGAATTGTTCTGACACTTGATAAGCTGGCCTGTCAACTTGCCCTTTGCCTTATCTGCTAATGGTAGCTTCTCAATGGGAGTCAACTTGAATTTTAACTGGTGATTACATCTTAATATGTCAGCAACTGATAGATGATGTCATCATATGATAGATGATGTTAATAACAAAAATTGCTTTAAGGTCTCACTCTTACAAGTTGACGTAATAAATTACAATTATCCTCCAATGCCTGTTGTAAATTTAAAAATCCTATGCCATGTATTCTTCTTTTTTTTGGGGGTGGGGGGGGTAGTCCTTAAAGCATGTATGATCATTTACATCTAAATGTGGCCATTGATTGGTTGAACTATAACTGAACAAGACACTGTATTAACAGCCCCTTTAACATTCTCATTACACAGATTAAACATCTATCGTCCAGTAGGTCTCATTTCACTGAGTTTCAATACACATTAAAAGACATTTTTGAATGTTGATGTTTCATATGGTACTCACTGCAACTATCAGAGGTGATAAATACACATAAATAGCATGTAGAGGATGAAATAATGGTGTAGTTACATATTAGTAGAAAACTGTAATGGAATTTTGTTTCTGTCTTGGTATAACAGCATAAAAAGAATGAGCATTATTAAAGTCAATCTAATTAATATCTTCAATCAATGTACTTACCTGTTAATTAAGTATTATTCTGATTAACTAGAAAAGCTATAAAGAGAAGGAGATCACTCATCAAATGTTGATCCATCTACCTGTAAATTGCTGAGGATGACCCATCAAACACTAGTACTTGCTAAGTTTGACCCGTCAACCTGTAAAGACCTGAGGATGACCCATCAAATTCTAGTATGCTGTGTTTGACCCATCAAATTCTTGTAAGCTGAGTTTGACCCATCAACCTGTAAAGAGCTAAGAATGACCCATCAAACATTAGTAAGCTGAGGTTGACCTATCAGCCTGTAATGAATTAAGATTCACCCATCAACCTATAAAGAGCTGATGTTAACCTATCAACATGTAAATAGCTGAAGTTGACTGATCAATCTATGAATAGCTTAGGTTGACCTAACAACCTACAGTATAAAGAGAGGTTGACCCATCAACCTGTGTATAGCTGAAGTTGACCCATCAACTTGTAAAGGATTGAAAAGATCTGAGCTTGACACATCAGCCTGTTAAGATCTGAGTTTGACCAGTCCACTTGTAAAGAGCTGAGGTTGTCCCATCAACCTATAAAGAGCTGAAGTTGTTCCATCAACCTGTAAAGACCTGAGCTTGTTGAGCCATTCACCTGTAAAGACCTGAGGTTGTCCCATCAACCTATAAAGATTTGAAGTTGTCCCATCAACCTGTAAAGACCTGAGGTTGTCCCATCAACCTGTAAAGACCTGATGTTGTTGAGCCATTAAGCTGTAAAGACCTATGGTTGTCCCATCAACCTGTAAAGGCCTGAGGTTGTTGAGCCATTAATCTGTAAAGACCTGAGGTTGTTCTATCAAACTGTATAAGTCTTGTGGTTACCCATCAACCTGTAAAGGCCTGAGGTTGTTGAGCCATTAACCTGTAAAGACCTGAGGTTGTTCCTCTCAAACTTTATAAGTCTTGTGGTTGTCCCATCAACCTGTAAAGACCTGAGGTTGTTGAGCCATTGACCTGTAAAGACCTGGGGTTGTTCCATCAAACTGTATAAGTCTTGTGGTTGTCCCATCAACCTGTGAAGAGATGAGGATGACTCATCAACTTTCTCTGTACCCAGCTCCAACACCGACACTCTGTGTGAGAAGTCAGCCAGCTATACCCCAAGACTTCTGAGCACTAACTTCACTGGCAAATCTGTCTCTGATATATCGAACAGTTCCTTCTAGTTCATATTCATTGTAGAATTTACAATATAGAAACTAGTTCACATTTTTGAAAATAACATATTTCACTTTTGCATCAATGAGCATTTAAAAAATACATGAAACATTATTTTATTTCCAAGTCACCACATGGTCTGCTAATGTTCCCTAACTGTACTTCTGTTGCGTAACATTTTCATAATATATCATAGAAAAATGATCATTCGTGGACAAAATGGCTCATTAAGAATCGGCATGGGATCAAACTGTGTTTTGTCAATCATTAGATTCAAACAATCTACTTCTTGAGTATCCAGGGAAATAGTGATTGTTTCCAACAATGCATGAAGTTAAATACAAATTATTTTTTGACGTGAACTGTTTGGTTTCAAAATACTAATACTAATTACTAAGACTACAGTAATTAATTAAAAATGTTGTTTAATTTTAGATAAATAAAATCTTAATGTAAAATATTCTTAAATAGTTGAAGTTTTTGGATCATCATTCATTTATTTCTTTGCTTTGTCTTTTAGTGAAACCATATTTTTCTTGCATCAAATATTTTACAAGGGTTTGTCTGCCAGGATGGACCAGTGGCCCAAACTTTTAATTGGTATGTATTCTACTTCTTACATAATTATTGAAAAATCAAATATAGATACTGTAAAACCTCGAATAGATGCCCAATGGGTTTAATCTCAAGAAGTCTCGAAAAGAAGCCCATGGAATTCTTTTCAAGACAGCATAGGCTTTTTTTCAAGATAGCACAGAACATACACTGTACATGAATTTCAAAGAAACAAAATTAATTAAAAACATGCTTGGTTTATACAGTAGTTTAGGTTATTTAATGCAGGTTAATACATTCCATGATACAGATCGAGGTTACAGTAGCCCTATATATTGTTTTATAGTAGTAATTCCCAAAATATACAGCATTTATTTTGAAAAGAAGCCCCCATCTTTACTTTGTAAAAGTAGCCTCGAAAAAAAAACCATCCAAAGTTCACAAAAAAAAAAAAGAAAAGAAGCCCAAGGTTTCAATTAGAGGTTTTACGGTATGCAAATGAAGTCATGAGCTTCAGAATGAGGTGTATACTAGTCAGTTATTAATATGCAAATAATTAAGTTTATAGATTTTTACATTAGTCATGTTTTTTTATCATCAGGTTGAAGAAGGTAGACAATCAAGTATTGATATGCAAATGAGTCATGGGCTGATATTGTAATAATAATTGTCAATTTATATAGAGTACTACAGTGTTACGTCACGATACTGTGTGATACTACTCCATTGCTATCGTTGCAAAAAGCGTTCAACCGGACGCCATTTTCTCCACTGACAAACCATTGATCCCAATTTCTAATGTAATTATTAGGATGTTTTATCTTTTTCTCTGTAAATTTTAATTGATGATTAAATATAACTAATATAATGCGAGCATTTGTGTTTTTAGTACATTTTGATGGTAAAATATTAGATTTCAAAATGCCTATTCCAGAAAGCCTATGAAGTCATTCAGGCATAATGAACGGTAACCAACGTCTGTTGAAAACAGAGAGCGCCACCTGGCGTCGTGACGACACGACTATGGTACTCTATAGTGCATTATGTAAAATACCTCTATGCGCTTTACAGCATGGAGTGGGATAAATTATTAAAAGTTTTCCCATAAAAATAATAACAATAAATATAAATATAGGATTACTATGTAATGCAAGTGAGTATATTGATAGATATAAACCTTAGTCACATAGTAATATGCAAATGTGTCATGGGCTGTTATTATATGCAAATGAGGAAATTTATAGATATAAACCTTAGTAATGTGATATACAGTATTATTGAGTAGATTACAGATTAAAGAAGGTAGACAAATCAAATTATAATGTGCAAATGAGTAATGCGACCTGATGGATGTAGACATATTATTGATATGCTATATTTCCTTTTGTATGGTCAATTAGAAGTCGTCTAAGGTCAGTGTATATGCAGGGAACTCCTTGGTATGTGTATGAAATTCAATGACTGAGTTGATGCTTGCATTGATGAATAGGAGTGGAATATTGTTATTATAATGAAGTGGAGATGACAAAGGTTGGAGTGATGATTAAGGCAGCCGATCACATGGTTCAATTGTCTTCATCCTCCTTTTTCTAATCATTTTCATGTTGAAGATTAGGATTGAAGATGATGGCAAATACTGATTTCTGTAGCACCGTTTCCAATTCAGTGATGAAAGGTGCTTGAGAGTGTTGCACCTGGTCACTGTCTAAATAAAATACAATGGCAAATCAGCACAGAGTGCATCCTTCTCTGCTCCATGAGAGTATATCTAGTCAAGCCCATGTACATAACAAGTACAGTCAGTGCCACAACTTGCCCATGTACTCCTGGGTAGAGAGAGACAGACATAGGTGAAGTTTCTTGCCTAAGGACACCAGCGACTTTGACAACAATGGTTTTGAACCCCCGACTCAAATATATTTAAATGACAGAGAGACAGGTGATATCTGTTAAAAGATACTAGAGCAAAATAAGGAATTTACTTGTGAATTATTGAAGCAAATAAAATTGCTGTCATACTTAAGCTCATTCTCAATCCTACAGAATAAAATTCTAAAATCTGCTACTTTGACTCACTGTTTTGGAGAAAACAATAAAGTATACAGAAAACATTTAAATCACTCATCATTTGATGGTAAATTTGGCTGCAATCGCTCTTTTTTTCGACAGGCGAGTTGATTGGCTTAGGAGAGTTGATTGGCTTAGACGAGTTGATTGGCCAAGCGGTTATCGGCGCTGGTTCAAACGGCTCACTTGCCAATAGTTTCGGTGGTGGAACAAGTCTTCTCGGATAAGGACTTTGAACCATATAACTAAATAAAAAAACAGACAAGAACATAACCCCCCTGCCAACGAAGTTGGCGGAGGTAATGACAGAAAAAATGGATACAGTATGCAAATGTATAATGTTATTATATTATATGAACACACAAAAGATAGAATAATGGTAGTGCGATATAATTTATAAGCATGTAGGTAAACACGCTAGATCAATAAACTAGGTCAACAAACTATACTAGAAGAAAAAAACCAGCAAAATTAAACCAGGTCAGCACACTCATCTAGAAGAAATACCAGTAAGACTGCAACTAACAGATGGAAAGATATTTACAAAAGATGAGAAATTGTTAAATTAGTCACCAGTATGCACATAGGATGAAGAAAGATAAGCGAGTACAAAGCAGTGATGGAAAATTGAAAGTTAAAAAAGTAAAGCTATAATTATTCTATTAAACATACAAAATGCCAGAGATCTAACACACCTGATGTATCAATGATTATTAAACTAGGAATTTTTGAAAATTATATGTCAAAAGAAAATGTTAATAAGAATAGCTATTGCAAATTGCAGTTTGATATTTAGACCATTAAAAGTCTTAAGTATGATTATTTAGAACATTAATTATGGCAGTGCGATATTTTGACCCTTAAAGATTCCAGTAAATTTAGACTGTGAAATGACTCACTAGACTCTTAATGCTGTAGTGTGATATTGTGACTATAAACATGGTCCATGTTAGATTTTGATATTACTGACTTTACCATTTTAGTACCATTGAACAATGAGTATTCAAAGTACTAATTGTATATTTGAACCATAGATTTTGATATTACTGACTTTGCCATTTTAGAACCATTGAACAACAATATTCAAAGTACCCATTGTATATTTAAACCACAAAGAGTACTATGGTATTAATAGAACATGATATTTTGACCATCACTGTAACAAACTAATCCAGTGAAATATTTAGACAGTTACTAGTGGAATGATATTAATGCAATACAATGTATAGTTTTAGCAATCAAGAAATGACGACAAAATGGTAATTCAATCCTTGATATTTATATTATTCTCAATCAATAGTAAAATTATTTAATACTTAGCCAACAATAAGGCAAAAGAAAAGAGTTTGTGTTGTCCAAATCCTGACCGAATCAAAATCTTGAAAATCTAGGGACAAATTCATTTCTGTTGCAAAAGTCAAAATAGTAGAATGATGTGTGAAAAGGATATTTTCAGCATGAAGTATATGACCTTAACCATATGGATTCAACTTTTGAAATGATTCTGATCATTATAATATTTTGTTGAAGAAATTATGACCATTTGTGAGAGATTGTGAGATAACGTGTTCAAAGCTAATAATTTTGTAGTGAATGATTACACACCACAATTGTCACACTTGTTTCATTGTAAGAGAATTATCTCAAAAAGAACTCTCAACATCAAAAGACTATACTGTACATGTAGGGTCAATGGTTATGCATGCCAATGGTCAATTATGGTCATGCATTTTTATAACGCTTTACACAATTTAAAAAAATCATCTCAAGGCCCTTTTGAACCACTATAAAAACTACTAATATAATAATTAATGAAAGAACAGGCACAAAGGAGAGGAAAGTGCGCAAGTGAATTTGAATAGCTCAGTGGTTAAAATTCTTGCCTTCTGATCCCAAGGTCCTGGGTTCAGTTATTGTCACAGCAGGACTTTTTCTCACAACTAAAATTAACTCCACTCCCTAAGCCTCATAAAGAGCCTTAGTTTATAGAGCATCATTCTTATCCTGTAAGTGGCGAGTGTACGTGCTGTTGGATCTGATTTTGAGATGGCGTTGCCATCATTACCGTGTTCATGCGTATTTCAGCGTCTCTATGCGGTGCTTCTGTAGGTTCCACTGAGAGTATGCCTACGGCTTTACTATCGTGCACTGCTAAGTTGACAGTGTTACCTAAAGTAAGGAGGTGCAACTAATGAAAACATCTATACAGTGTATTAACTGAGTTAAACATTGAAGAGAGGTAGGGGTCTTCAATTTCTTTTTAAATACTAAAACTAAGGATGCCTCTGTAGGTAAGGAATTCCACAACTTTGGAAAAGCAACAGAAAAAGCCCTGTTACCATATTGTAATGAATATCTACAACAAAATACAAAAAAAAAATCGTTTAGCATAGCTCTCAATGAATGTTGTCCTATAAATAAATGAAATCTTGATTTATATTATATGCAACTATTTGTTTCCAGCTGTACTTATTGTGTAATAGAGTGTATCTGGCAGTAATTTGGATCTGTTCAGCCATGAAGCCTCTCTGGTCAAATGGTCATGATGCTTACCTTGACTCCCGTCAGAGGCATTTTATTACACAATTTCTTTATTCATTTATTTATAGGACAACATTCGTTGACAGCTATGCTACACGATGTATTATTATGTCCTTTATTTGAACACTGTATTTACCTTTCTTTGATGATTTATATATAATTTAACAGTGTTAACAGCAATTTTTATTTTGTTTTTTTTATTTATTTCTTTTTACAACCAACAGCAAACAAAGTTCGCCACTTACAGGAGGGAACACGAACCACAACGAACAATACAAGAAATAAATCAAACATTAAACCGAACTACTAATGATATTACGAAACATACGAAAGTCATTACAGAAAATATCTAACTCAGGATTTTTTAAAACAAGGGAATTATAACTTTGACTCAATCTACAAACATAACCAAGATGATCAACATGCAAAGAAAAACT